CATAATGAAAAGTGCCCCCAAAATGATAGAGGGTAGAATATGGAAAGAAATGAATGGGAAAGTTAAGGAAGTAAATTAAGAGGCAAGAGTTAAAGATGACATTAAAATGGGTATGCAGGGTTTTGAGTTATTCTTAGAATAAATACGTAAGATTTTGTATCAAGCCAATACTTGAGTTATTTATCAGTTCTAGCATTATGAGGAATTGTACAGATAAGTAATATGGTCTTGGTCTTCATGAGTGAATTATCTAGGAATATAAGCTCTCCTCTGCCTACTCATCTTACTATTTGATACCAACTGAAGACACTCATAAAGATAGTTCTTATTTTAACTCCCAGGTATTTGAGAGTCACTTTAAATCTTTACTAGTAGGGTTTCTCATTAGCATAATGTGGCACTAATTTGCTTAATGGTTGTAGATCTTGGGATTTTAATAATATAAAATATAGTATTAATGATTCTACTTAATGTAAGTTACTCACATTTGCATTTTCCAAAATATGAAATATTTAGGAGACACATCCAAGATGTTTAGGAGAACAAAGAGCTACGACAACTTGCTGACTACCTTAATTGGGGCCGGAATCCGAGTTCTTTTCAGTTCCTGCCAAGAAGAAACTGCAGATTTGCTAAAGGAACTGTCTTTAGTAGAACAAAGAAAGAATGTTGGTATTCATGTTCCAATAGTGGTGAACAGAAATAAATGTGAAGCACTTCAGTTTTATCTAAGTATTCCCAATATAAGTTATGTAACTGCATTAAATATGTGTCACTGGTTTTCTTCTGTGAGAAAGATGACTAACAGGTATGTCAGTGTTAATATTTTTAAACGGTTACTGTAAAATGATTCTTAGAAATACTTCATAGAAATTTTAATATTATTTAAAAAACTAAAGATGTATAGTGCGTATTAGAGTATCTCATTCAGTAAAGACTTTTTGCTTCCCAGTGTTACAGTCACTGCATGAAGTTGAGGACGTTAATGGAGGGAAAAGATAGGCACCGCCTTTGGGGAGCTTAGAGTCCTCTGAGAGCTAGACAGCGCTTATATTTGATCTTGCATTCTAACATTTCTGGGCTGTTTAGTTCTAGAACTAGAAAAATATCACAGTGCAGATTTTACTAGTTTTTGATTATTATATTGCTTGAAAAGGAAAATTTTAGAAAATGCATTATTTTAAATTAAAGGCCCAGGTAAGATGTTGAAATTGTTATAAGTGACTTTGAATATAGGGAATAAGTGTGTTTTATTTAAACCATGCTAAGGACATATTAACTAGATGTAAAATGCTTAGAAGAAATGATTTTCTTAAAGGCTTATGTTTGGTGTTCTTTAAGCAAATAAGAATATTGTGTTAAGTCAAAAACTTCTAATTTATTTTTCAGCTCACCTCAAGAAATCTCCACATGTGCACAAGTAACTCATCAGAAGGCTGAGGAGATCTATAGATACCTTCACTATGTATTTGACATGCAAATGTTACCAAATGGTCTTAACCAAGGGAGACTACAATCTGATGCATAATGATACTGCTCAAGGTGTGGTTATGAAAGAACTCTCACAATACTAAATGCATTTCAGTAATCATTGCTGTGATCTGTGATAATCAGTTTAAAATATGTAAAATAATATTCCCACATCTGTTTTATGTGGTGTACATTTTTATTTATATAGATTATAAATTATTTTAAAAGAAAACCTGACATTCAGTAATCATTTTCATTAACTAGATTATGAAACTCATTTTTTTATTGAAAAAAAAAAAAGGTTTACTGAAGGAGCTATCAAGAAAGTAAAAGCGGGCGCCTGGGTGGCTCAGTCGATTAAGCATCCAACTCTTGGTTTGGCTCAGGTCATGATCTTGCGGTTTGTGAGTTCGAGCCCCACATTGGAGCCTACTTGGGATTCTTTCTCTCTGCCCCTCCCCTGCTCATGCTCTCTCTCTCT